GGTAGAGCCGGAGATTCCCGAGCAGTGCCGGAGGTTCCCGAGCAGGTACGGATAGAGCCGGAGGTTCCCGAGCAGGCACCGCTCCTGCGGGCAGCAGGGGGCGCTGGCGGCTCCAGAACGGCGCGCAGGGCGGGCCGCGGCCGGGGCTGCCCGGGCGCCGCCTGATCGCGGGGCGGGCGCGGCGCCGGCGGGGTGGGCGGGCGCGGAGGGCCCGGCGGGGCCGGCGGGGCCGGCGGCGCGCGCGGACGGGCGGGGCGGGGCGGGGTCCTCGCGGCCCGGTGAGGTCACTCTTTGTGGCGGCGGCTCCAAGATGGCGCCGGTGCTGGCGGAGAAGAAGCTGCTGGGGCCGGAGGGGCCCGGCGGGGCCGAGCTGCCCGGCGAGGAGGACGAGGGGCAGAACCTCTGGTGAGCGCCCGCGGCCGCCCGGGCCCTGCACGGCGGGGCGAGCCCGGGCTCCGCGGGGCTGGAGCGCGGCGCGGGGCCTCGGCCGGTCGGGGCCGCGCTCGGGCCCCGCGGGCGGCGGCGGCGGGACCGGCGGGGAGCGCCGGGGGGTCCGGGGGTGCGTGACGGGAGCCCCGCGGGCGCAGGGACGGGAGGACGGGGGTAGGAAGGGAGCGGGGCCCGGGACCGCGGCTCTGCGGGATATCCGCGGGGCCGGCTTCGGCAAAGGCGATCTCGTGTGTAGTTGGCTTTTATTTCTTAAAAACCCCCTTAAAAAATACCTATAATGGCAGACAGGTGTATATCGAATACAGCAACCGATTGTGATGGGAGTTAGTTGAAAAGTAATGTTCTGCAGTATTGCGGCCCCGTACAAAGGAGGAGAACTTAAAATGTCCCTGCCTGTGGTTTAGAAATCATAAAAGCCCTTCGGTAGAAGGTGGCATGCTTGAGGTGGTTCAGAGTGCAGTTGGCCTGTGGCTGTGACAGCCCTGCTCGTCCACAGCCCGCATGTGCCGCTGCTGGGTGCGGATGTGCTGAGCTCATGGTGCTGTCAGCCCGCTCCGTGCCGCGCGCTAACGCGGCCGCTCTGCTGCTTCCCAGGTCCTCCATCCTCAGCGAAGTCTCGACACGGTCCAGATCGAAATTGCCATCGGGCAAGAATATTCTTGTTTTTGGTAAGTAACACGCACAACCAGTTGGGTGTTGGTTTGTTGTCTTTTTATTTGTAGAAGCAAAGAGCATTTCAAACACCGATTGGAGCAAACTGACACGTGGGTTCCTTACAGTTGGGTTATGTAATTTGTTCTGTGATCTTGACTTGTGCTTGTAGATTTACTTTCTCATTGATTTCCACTGTTAGATTTATAGCCTATTTTAAGTAATAATAGAGAATAAGATAGTTTTTCGTTCTTATTGTTCTGGTACAAGCCATTAGATTTAGCTGAAATACTTGATAGAGAACAGCAAAGAACTGTGATTCAGAAGTGTATACAAGGATGTTTCTTATTAATTAAGCAAGTTGTGAAAAAATCTTTTCTGTGAAGTCAAATGTAATTCTGAAGGTGTCTTTTTGTTCTCTACAAACTTACTGGCAGGTGATGACGGTTCAGGCAAAACCACACTCATGGCTAAAATACAGGGAGCAGAGCATGGCAAGAAAGGAAGAGGGCTGGAATACTTGTATCTGAATATTCACGATGAAGACCGAGATGGTAAGTTCATTTGAAATGCAATCTCTTTAATTAATTAGCTGCCATGCTGTTTTAATAATTGTGGTTTGACAAGTGTGTTCTGGGCTACGCCCCAGTAGCTGGTTCAGCGTGGTGCTGGGAGTTTTGGGTGCTGGTTGTCCATTTCTGTGGAGGGGAAGGTTTCACAGTCAATGTCCGTTCTCCCCCCTGCCCCTCTGGGAGCCTGACCTGTGCCTGGGGCAGGGCAGCTCTGGGGATCCCTTCTGCTCCAGGGAAGATCCTTTGCTGGTGGTGACTTTGTAGCAGCAGCAGTGGCGTTGCTGTGGCTACTTTGTGATTAGAGAAAGGGAGGGATACATCCATGAGAGTGTCATGCTCAGCATGGATTTCTGGGCGCAGGGTGTTTCTCATAGGGGCTGTGTGTGGAATTTTGGTTAACTATAACAGATGTTTTGCTTTAGTT